GCTGATGGTGTGGACACTCCACAACAATGACTTAAAATGTCTCCATGCATCTTTGAAATAGTTCTCCAATTGGTTGTTTAAATTTGAAAATGTATTGTCTCCACTCTAGCGTCATTGTTAGAGTAGTCTTTAGAGATGAAGATATTGTATATACCCCCCCCCCCCAAGCAGTGTAGACAAACGGTGGTAGCTCAAGAAACCACCCTCTGGCCACTCTTTTTAAGGTTTAAGGAAAGCATTAAGCTTGGATTCATTTTCTGTGAGCCCATTTCTAGGTATTCCTTAGATGAATCCATATAAGTTGATGATGAAGTTGAGTGAATTCTCTACCAGCTAACCATGGAAGTGTGACATATTGTTGAAGCATCTACCGCCTAACTCATATTCTCTAGACGCTTCTCCAAGCATAGTGTATGACACGGTGGCTGCAAAAACAAGCATTTTTCGCTCATTGAGTTTTAACATCACCTTTGCTCTTTTTTGTTTCTTTGAGGTTGTGCTTTCAAACTCTTTCAATTTTGGGGTTTTGAGGTTCATGATTTTTTATAAGCATTATAACTACTCGTGTTCTACATAAGTAGTTATAAGTATAAATTGAAGCAAATAAGAAAAATCACTAAAAATCTCGAGTTCAATCACAAATGTGAAAATATATATGTTCCAAAATTATGAATGACTGGTCACAATCCAACAAATGTCAAAACCTGGCACTTCCGGCACTTAAAGGCAGATCTAAGAGTGTGCATGGGCCTTTCAACTATTTTTCGAGAGTTATTGTATGGTTCCTTTGGAAGCATACACACAATGCTATTGGAGTGATCTAAAGCTCATCATACTTTTGACAAAATCATAGGAAACATTAACACTCATATACCGGGCTATTGGGACTAAAAAGCCTCCCGCGTGTATCAATCATTTTCTAGCTTTGAGGGTACCAAACATACCCATTTTAGCCCCCTTTTACTTTAGGAGAAGATAATTCCCAGTTGGCGCCCAAATGTCAATACCCTAGCCGTGGCTGGCCCAAGGCATATCCAATATGTCTCATCGCATAGAGCCTCCAAAATCTTGTAGGCCCATTTTTAGTAATTACTTATATACTATTTTAATATTATATAATTCCAAGTTGGATAAATATTCTGAATCTACTTTCTAAGAGATGTAAGATAAATTATATCTTTATAAGTGGATGTTGTATGTCTTCAATTGAGTAATTGTTTTATTATGATGTATGATTGCTAAATAATAAATAGCTTATTATAATGATTTGTATTTGCATTTGTACTAGAAAGACACAATAGATTTTATTGTACAAGGCCCTTACTTTCAAAGGACCGACCCTGGTCCTGGCATGGATCAAGCCTTTACAAGGGTTTAAATTGCTACTCGTAAAACCCATTATAAAGCAGTATAATGGCCATTTAACGAGCTGTTTGATGGGTTATGATTAAAGACTACAACAATACCACACTTGAATATGATCATACATGTGGCTTCTCTTTTCCTTGCCAAGCCACATAAGTCTTCTCCTCTTAATTGCTCCAAATTTTCAAGAACATCATTCATAAGGCTCGGGAGAATAATATTATCGTTTGCTAAGTTGTGGTCAACCATGTTTCTACATGCATTGCTTCAAATCTTTTGCATGAAGATTCTCTCTAACTTATTCATAATTACTCCACACACTCTCAATCCATATATATCACTCATATATGAGATAGAAGGTAGATCCCTTGCGTTTAAGTTTATTTTACCCTTTATGTTCTTAATATCATGTACCTTGTTCAAATAATCTACTTCATGCAGCTCCTTAATATCTATAAGGTATTAAGATCCCCCTCCCCTGTGTATCCTTAATATCTATAAATAAATTAAATTTGGCAACCTAACTCTAGTCCTCCAATTTTGGTGGTTACTAACACACACAAACACACACTACATGCATTTATAGGGTTATGATTAGATGTTTTTATTTGATCCGTATCTTCATTGGGAATGCAGACACATGGATAGAACTATCCGATGGTGAGATGGTCGACAAACTTAATAGTTTGGAGGTGGTGGAATAAAGACTAATAAAACATTATAGCATTTTATTTTAATTTTTATGTACACTGAATTTGAAATAGGAAATCGGAGTAGTTAGTGTCATTCTTGATAGGCACTAGAAATTGTAACATTAACTTGTTATATGAATGCCCGGTAAGTCCAAAGTATGGCAATATAGTTTTTGAATGGCAGTAAGTTACTTCTTTTAGGGAAGAAAAACATAGCATTTCTATTTTGAAATTTCACATCGTTTTACTTTAGTATTTCTTAAAATTTCTCATTTTGGTTTTATATTCATTGTAAATAAGCTTCGGTCTAGTTTTATTTCTTTCTTGGAGTCAAGTTGGTTATGTCAATATGTGTAGAAGTAAAATGACTTTGAAAGTCAAAATAATATTGAGGTTCCTATAGTGTTTGCTAAGTCTATTTTTATGGGTGACCCAGTCAATATTTGAACGCTTTATGCATAAAATGTTCTAGTCCTTTGAGTTATTTTTAGTCTCGTTGATTATAGTTATACCAGATATATGTAGTGGTATTCTAGAGTAAATGCAAAAATAATATATAGAGAGAGTGTAATGTGCATTAATGACTTTCAAACTATACCATTTTAGAAGGTATGCCTTCTCTGAAGAGGTTTTGGTCTAGTCCCCTTCTTCTTTTTGTATTCCGCTTTATTTTTAATAAAATCTGACAAATGTTCCCCGCATTTGTCCCACCTTTAATTAGATGGTTTGCCTACCGGATTTTAAAAAAAACTATACTATTTGTACTGAGGTTATTTATAATGTCAACAAATGAGAGGTGCATTAAATGCATCACACATGTGGTACTATTCTATGAGTGCATGCCCATAAAGAGTGCGGTGATGACACATGCATGGTCTTGTTGTGTCATTAATTCCAAATAAGCTGAGATATAGTCTCATGCAACAACGACACCGGTTAGTTCCAGATAGGGAGCCACTCATCTGTTGGAGAGGGGTGGTTGAGAGACATAATGCTAGTGTCTTGCACTTGTGATGAGGTATGCCATGAACTTATTGTCCGAGTTGTGAATGAGGGGACATGGGTGATGTCCTTCGTCTGCCGGGGCACTTCAAGTGACGACCTTCCATATTACTATCGTGATAAGGCCTCTGGTATGTTGATGAGACCTAGTTGAGGGGTTCTGGCTACAGTGTTATGAGATATAGTGTTGAGTTGTTCGAAAGATGTGAACTATGGGTGCGTACATATGTACTGTGTCACTCATTTTATTAAATATATGTGACTTCACATGAATTTTCTATTCTCACATAAATAAATCTCAAACAGATACAGATTAATTGTTAATTTCTTATATCATTGTGCACTAGATGGTTTCTACCATGTTTGTAGGATTTGAAGATTTTAAAGTTACATTAGGAACCTTTCTTGGAAAGGTATTGGAGATTACACAACGGAAGATGATTCAATTAGTACAATAATAAGTTCGCTCAAAATTAAATGTTTCCAGTGATGGTTAGATTGTAAAGAGTGAGCTATATATTGTCTAATATTCTAAAAGGCACTAAGCGCTAGTCGGGCGCCTGCCCAACGCCTAGGAGGCTAGGCAGGAGCCTAGGCGGGGACTAGTCGAACACATGAAAATTATAGATTCATCAAAAATTTTGCATAAATGTGATTAGTAATGTTGTGTTTGTGTGTGTATCAAAATATATAAAGACACATACACATTAACATGCATGAATGATAGGGTCGTCACATTTAATAATATATTATACCTACTCAGTTAACTTCTTTATGTGATAAATAATAGGTGAATTTCACAAGAATAATCCCGACTTTTAGGGATTCTACAATAATAATCTCTACTCAGAGTGTCTACGAAAATAATTCGAATTAGCAATGATGTTCATAAGAATAAATTGGGGTAAATTCAAATTAATATCCGTTTAATACTCTCAACCCTTACTCTCACTTTTGTCTTCCATACTCTTCTTCTCGGGGCAAATTCAAGCTAAAACACATTTAATCTTGGAACATTTGTGTCATGTGTGGTTCTCTCTAATTTGGAACATAATGGTGTTAACCTAGATGAAGAGTGGTGAAGGGGAAAGTGGAGATAAGGGTTGAGAGTATTAAATGAACTTTAGTTTGAATTTACTCTAATTTTATTCTCGTGTACACTATTGTTAGTACAGATTATTTTTAGGAACACTCTCAGTAGGGATTATTATTGTAGAATCCATAAAAGTATGGATTATTCTTGTGAATTTCGCCTAAACAATAAAAACACTTAAGATTATATATAATCTTAAGATTATGTAACACTTAAGATTATGTATAGTTTTTATCATAATCTACAACGAATAGCTTTCTTCATATGTGTTATTAAAATTAAAGGTACGCATATCTCTTTGGATACTAAAATAAAAAGGGAAATCAAACGTTCGATGAATATAGACACCTAGACAGCCAACTAAACGCTCTGGGCGTGCAACTAGACATCTTAGGCGACCAACTAATTCGCCTAAGTGTCAAATCAATTAATCGGAGCTCTTGAACTAAAATCAGGGCATCCGACCACCACCTAGCCTAGACATGGACTAATCGATCGTCTAGAGCGATTTTTAGAACATTGATATTATCCATGAATTTCCATTGTTGTCATGTGTTCCTTAACTATTCTCTCATGGCGGTTGGAGCTTTACTTCCACCGATAATTCTAGGGTTTTGCCTTTACTTGTTTTTACAAACAGTATAGTGTTGTTCATTAGCTGTCTAAAGGTGTGTTCCGCTATAGGTGGTTTACTGTCGAAAGGTTTATTTGGGTGTGTACATATATGTGAAACTTTATGATATTTTATGATTTATGAATATATTTGGGTCTCAATTTAAGAGAATATCAGGTGTGGCATGGACAATAATTTCAAGATGACAGCACTATTTTCTACCAAGCAAATTAACAAAACGACATTTTATGCTCCATACAAATCACATCACCCCATCACCAAAAGGAGAAAGAAATTAAAGAAAGAAAAAACAGGACAAAAGAGCATGAGTGAAGAGGAAAACCCCAAGTAACGGACGCAAAAGCATTAGAAACATCTAATCCACCCCCACCGCCGTGCTCCTCCACCTACCACCGCCATCTATAAATAGTTGAAGCAAAATCAAGAGGGAGGAAACGGGAAATACGGCCGAGCTTATTTTCAACTCTCCCATGATCAGAAAAAATATCTATTTATAAAATAATTAAACAAAATTGATTACTGTATGGGGTGATTTTTTTTTTGAAATAATTTATACTGTGGTATAGATTTCAATTTTCAGACACAGTTGAAGTTCACTTGACAAATGTGATGAGTGACAAGAAGACTAGTAGTCCCAGCAGTAGTAGCATCGGGAGTGAGGACCGTCCGGAAATGTCTGAGAACGCGGAGCCGCCGCGGCCGTCATCTTCTACTTCAGATTTCGCCGCCGCCGCTAAATCCCGCGTCTTCCACTCTGCTGCCGCCGGAGGCGGTGGGGAGGATACCTGCTGCTTCCCTCCGAACTCAGATCACGTCCTGGAGAATGTGCTGGAAAACGTTCTCTGCTTCTTGACCGATCGACGCGACCGGAACGCGACGTCGCTGGTCTGCAAGTCGTGGTACCGGATTGAGGCCATGACCAGATCCGAAGTATTCATCGGAAACTGCTATGCCGTTTCGCCTCAACGCGTCACGGCTAGGTTCAGCCGGGTCACCTCGGTGATTGTTAAGGGAAAGCCCAGGTTTGCTGATTTCGGCATGCTTCCGCCGGACTGGGGTGCGCGCGTGGACACCTGGCTTGCCGCCTTTTCCCAGCCTTACCGTGCACTCGAGAAACTGTACCTCAAACGCATGGTTCTCCTCGACGAAGATATGCAGACGCTGGCTGAGGCTTTCTCGAATCTGGAGGAGCTAGTTTTGGCCAGTTGCGAAGGTTTCGGAACTTATGGACTTGCTTGCGTCGCCAGTGATTGCAGGTGAGTGCTACTTCTTTTAATTTTCTTGTTTTGGCTTTGAAATTCCTAATTGATCTCCTGCTTTGATGTTTGCTACATTCTCTTGCATAGTAAAAGCCTAAAAGGTCTGCTGCTAACTATCATTTTTTTTACATGTTTCAGTAGAAGTCATATTTCTATTATCCACTCTAGTTGTTAATACTTTTTTGGTGTTGAAATGTAGCGATTGATTAAATTAAACCTATTTTGAGGTATGATAGTGCTCTCAATTGTGAGATTGTGTGTGATTTTCTTGTGCTAGCAATTTTGAGGTATAACTTTGATGCTTATTATTTTAGGAAATTAAGGGTGCTTGATTTGACGGAGTCTGAGGTCATTGATGATGATGTGGACTGGATTTCATGCTTTCCAGAAGGTGAAACATGCCTTGAGTCGTTGGTCTTTGATTGTGTGACAAGTGAGGTGAATTATAAAGCATTGGAAAGATTGGTGATGAGGTCTCCTTCTTTGAAGAAGCTTAAGTTGAACCAGGATGCTTCTATCGGACAGCTTTATAGGCTGATGGTTAAGACCCCACAGCTTACACATTTGGGGACTGGATCATTTAGGCCCTCAGAAGAAGGTGATGGTGAACAAGAAGAAGAACTTAACTATGCTTCTGCTTTTGCTGCCTGCAAATCATTAGTTTGTCTGTCCGGGTTTAGGGAAATACTTCCTGATTACCTTCCATCCATATACCCCGTTTGTGCCAACCTTACTACCCTTAATTTCAGTTTTGCCGACATCAATGCTGAGCAGCTCAAAGCAGTCATTTGCCACTGCCACAAGCTGCAGGTTTTCTGGGTATGCAAACTTCAAGGAAATACTAATTTTTGTCTATTATTATTGTCTGTTTGGTAGCAATTTTTTTTTTTTTTTTTTGCAAACACTTGTTTATTTGACTTTGTGCCCTGCACTGGTTAATCATAATGAATATAAAGTAGGGTTACAGGTACTCCTTGGCTGAAGTTGTAAAATATAATAATCATGTTAACTTCTTTTTTTCAAAAAAAATATTTTTCTATTATGAGTAAGATAAACAAGAGATTTTTTTTCAAAATTCAGCCTTATCATATGTATCACCCACAAATAGGTCCTGTTCGGTATTATACTAGCATTAATTGGCTCATTCTTCTTAGAACACTACGAATAAGCACGAAATGTTTCATTCAACTTATTTATTTGGCTGAAAGTGATTTTAAAGAACGCTATTTCTTTCAGAAGAGACTTCTGCCAAATTACACTCTCACCAAACCAATTATCTCAAATGTGTTCCCTGCAGGTACTTGATTCAGTCTGTGATGAAGGCCTCAAGGCAGTAGCTGAAACATGTAAGGATTTGAGAGAGCTTCGAGTTTTCCCTCGTAATGCTGATGAAGACATGGATGGTCCTGTTTCTGAAATCGGATTGGTTGCAATCTCCGAGGGTTGCAAGAAACTTAAATACATATTATATTTTTGCCAGAGAATGACCAATGCCGCAGTCATTACCTTTTCACAAAACTTACCGGATATTGTGGTGTTCCGCCTCTGTATAATGGGCCGGCACAGGCCTGACCCGCTAACTGGTGGGCCAATGGATGAAGGGTTTGGAGCAATCGTCAAGAACTGTAAGAATCTCACCCGCCTCTCCACATCCGGTCTGTTGACTGACCAAGTTTTTAATTACATCGGGAAATATGGTAAATTCGTGCGGACCCTGTCATTTGCGTTCGCTGGGAACAGTGACTTAGGGCTGAAGTACGTGCTGGAGGGTTGCCCTAAGTTGCAAAAGCTTGAGGTAAGGGATTGCCCGTTTGGGGACTTGGCTGCCCGTGCTGGTTTGCATCACTATTACAACATGAGATTCATTTGGATGTCATCTTGCCGAGTATCGCGTCAATGCTGTGAGGAGATTGCACACCAGTTGCCGCACTTGGTGGTGGAAGTGGTTGACTGGAACGAGTTGGGGAGGAATGAGAACGATTATGATGTTTTGTACATGTACCGGTCTCTAAACGATGAACCAAGAACCGATGCCTCAAAGTTTGTTCAAATATATTGATGTTAGGAAATATGCCGGAAAAGGTGTCATTGTGGTTTTATCGATTTTTTTCCTGCAAGGTCGTCGACCAGCAGGATATCGGTGATTTATTTAAGGACTGTTTCTTCAATGTCGTTGTTCATTTTGTCTTAGAGATGAAAGAAGCCACAGACACCGCTAGGTGTAAGAAGGGGTGTCCTACAGAAGTGGAAATTGAGAAAGTTCATCATGATGATGATTTGGGTATACTTGTCATCCATTGCATAATTCCCATCTGATCTGTGTCAGTTTAGACTTTTAGACCTGTTTATGTTTCTTCAGGTGTGTTGCTTCTTTTGCACCTGGCTGCCGAATTGATTTATTTGTTGTTATTTTACTAGACATTTCATTCCATTAATGATATGTATGGTAAGCATTGTTGATCAATAGCTCTGGTTTCCTCATTTGGTTATGTTATCTATGAAATTTCCATAAAAAGCCCAAGTGGATAATTTTTATACTGGAAATGATCATCAAGTTTACAAGTAGGTGACATTTTAGTCAAATAAAATCAATTCCATTATTTGGGAACTATATATAGTAATATAGACTAAACAAATCATCTAAAACTTCAAATTATCTCTTCAGTGACATAAAATGTGGCTCAAATGAAGTCCTCAACCTCTAGGAGAATTTCACAATGGCTATCCTTTTTTTATATAATCCAGGTGTCAGTGTTTACGCTCCTATAATCTTGGAATCTATGAACTACCTTCTAAAGCCCCTAGACAGTTAAATCCGGATCTGATCACAGTCAGCCTCGTCAGTACTTGCTCCAAAGGACGAATCCAGTGGGACTTACATCACCTTTCAGGCTGTTCCTCTCACCACACGAACTCGCTACCTTCATTACCATCCTCTCCCTTCTCAGTCGTTGTCCCGCTGAGCAACTCCGTAAAGGTAGGAAGAATCATTGGGAGAAAGACCTCCCTCATCTCCCCTTGGTGGAAATTGAACCCAAGACCTCCCACAAAGGAGAAACTTGGGGGTGGATGGTCATTCATTGGACTACACCCACCAGCCCCACAATGGCTATCCTCAGCTGCTTACAAGTTACAATGTAAGAATTAAATGGCTATCATTGACTGATACAATAATGATTTGAGTAATAAGGATACCCTCTAGGTGTTTTCAACTTTAGTCTATAACAAAAGTTTTTCTTCACTCTCTAATTAAATACGAAGTATATAAATTGAGAGGCTCAAACTGGAGAAGAAGAAATTACAATCAATAGTAAATTACAAGATTAAATCCAAATGTATATACGAAATATGTATATTATTCAGATTTAACAATGCTAAAAATTAATGCACTAAGTGCTTATAATAGCAAGATATAAAAAGCTAATGAAAGCTTTACTAGATGAAAAGTATTGTGCTGAACACCATAGTAAATACCTAAGAAGGAATAAAAGAATGATTGTGTATGCATGATTAAGAGCTAGATATGTTTGGAATAAACAATGGTACTCCAATATGTGACTACTGTGAGTTAGATCAATGAAATCTACATTAGCGCTTCAGGGTTAGACCATGTAACCAATGATTGTCCGCATTAAAGAGGTTGCACTAAACATTTCATTGCATGAGTCATCTTTTTTAAAAACATTTTGAACATATATTAGAAATACTCCGTCCCAAAAAATTCTTCCAACTTACCATTTTTAAACAATTTGTGTGGTTCACATTCATTTCACTTTTTTTTACACAACTACAACCACACATTTTCACTTTATTTCACTTTCTTAATCTCCGTGCTAAGTCAAAGTGGGAAGAATTTTCTGGGACGGAGGTAGTGTTGGACTCGGGTCCGGGCCGGGTCCGGGTCGGGCCTAGGCCCGGGCGGGCCGGCGGGTCAGAAATGGTGGACCCGGGACCGGCCCGGGTAACCACCGGGTCCGGTCCGGGCCCATTATAATTTTTTTTTTGTTTTCCTCTTCCTAAGTAACCCCCCCCCCACCCCCAACCCCCAAACCACCCCAAATGGCCCAAAATACCCAGTCCAACCCAAAACTTTAAAAAAAATTGCAAAAAAAAAAAAATTGTTTTTGGCCCGGCCGGGTCGGGCCTTGTTTTGGGTGACCCGAGCCCGGACCGGAAAACCCACGGGCCGGGCCTACCCGGACCGGTCACTGACCGGGCCACCGGGTCGGGCCGGGCCGGAACAGTACCGGTCCCGGGCCGGTTCCGGGTCGGGCCACCCGGCCCGAGTCCATACCTAGACGGAGGGTGTAGATTATTTTTGGATATTTTATGCCCGCCATTTTGCTAAGCGATGTCGATCACGCCATAGTTATATTAAAAAACAGACCCAAAATAACTTGTGCCAAAAACAGTTCACCAAATAGTCTAGTGTTAAAGCATTTGTTTTACCATTTTAGGGAAAGTGAGGTGTCTAATTTTAAGCTTGCTTAAATTATCATTCTTTTTATTGTTACTATAAAAAATTGAGCTTACTAATTATTTTCCCTTTCTTTATGGGATAAGGTAGTGTCTTTGTCTCCAAACTTACCACCTTTTACCCTTTTTCTTGTCCGAAATGTAACTCCGATTGTGTGAAAAAAATTCAACCATCCGGGCTTGTGTTGTGTTGACAGAAGACACATACCTTCCCCTTGGGGGACAAAAGTGAGAACAATTATTAAAGAGAGAAAAATGAGTTGAAATGACTCTACAACTAAGGACAATTTGGCACAGCATCTTTCTATCCCAGACCACACCCATCCTTCTTTGTTCCAAAGGCCACGTCTGATCCCCATATCTAACCTACTATTAAAGCGTATTGACAGCTTTACATGCTCCCAAAGTCTTATTGGCTACACTTTTTTATTCGCTTATCTTATTATTATACCAAGTATATTATATTAATCAAAATATGGGTCAACCTCCTAATTAACATACTCGTATCACGCAATTCCTCCCTGTTCTTCCTTTTTTGGTAAAAATATAATATGTCACGTGTGAGGTGTTTGTTACTGATTTACTCTCTAAGATCAACAATGTCTAACGTACTCATTCTTATATTCACCTTATATCCATCATGTTTGTGAATGTTTTTTTCTATGAATCCGATTCACAGACAAAATATGTGTTATTTGCACAAACAAAATATTGTTTGTGAACGGAACTCACAGACAAAAAAACCTTCTCAAACATTAATGGGTATAACAGTTGATGATGGATAAGTGTACCCGGGGGTATCTATCCGAGGGGTTACTGCGGGAGTAACTTAGAGAGAAGTCAGAGCAAAAGTAGAGAGAGAGAGTATATTGATGTATTGCTTAAAGCGTATTGAGCGTGATTTACAAATGGGGAAAGAGGTGCTATTTATAGCAACCATAAATGCTAGATAAGGACACGTGTCATCATTCTGGTGGTCGAGGGGTCACCTCAACGGGGTGGCACTGACACTCGCATGTGGCCGCATTAAATACGGTGGTTGGATGCGACGTTTGTACTTGGTACGTTGATTCAGCGCATGTGGGTGGGAGATTCTGTCGAGGAGATGCCTTCGGCTGTAGATGATTAGCCGAAGACTCTTCATCCCGGGGCCTCTAGGTGCCGAGGGCTCTAGGTGCCGAGGGCTACTGTTCTCGTCGTTTTCTCCCAGTAACTTTGAGTGCTTAAAAGCAGCTGTACCGTAAGTTTATGAGCCTTCGGCCATGGGGGCCGAAGGCACCAAAGTGTATGTCATGGGCTGCTTGGCATTTGGGGCGCTGTGATTTGGGCCTGCTGTGCTTCCTGGGCCTTTATAGTAATGGGAGTCTATGAGCCGGGGATCCCTGGGCCATATACTTCATCAGTGGATATAAGAGTGGGTACAAACATCATTTTTGCTTTATGATAGGTCAGAGTTTATCAAATTTGACAGACGCGAAAATATAAAAATGATAATTGGGGTTTGATTATTAGGCGAAGGAAATAATAAAAACTATTCCCTCCTAATTGAAATGTTTACTACTCCCTTCGTATCTAATCAATTGACGTGTTTGTTTTTTTACATAGTTTAAGATAATTACTGTAGATTATATGAAAAGTAAAAGGTTTTTGGTACTGTAGTGATACTGTAATTGCTTTTTGATTGAATTTCTATCCAAAAAAGGAATGAGACCATTAATTTGACACGGCGCAAAAAGGATACTGAGACAACTAAAATGATACGGAGGGAGTATAATAAGATTTGAGACAATGTTTAAGGAGAAAAAGTAAGTGTAGTGAATACGGTAGAAAAAGTTAGACAAATGATGAAAAAGGATAAAAGAATAGATAAAAAGTAAAAAAAGTAAAGATAACTCATTTTCAAAATGAAAAATTTACCAAAAAAGTGTAGTAAAAATTAAAATACAACTTGTAAAGTAAAATGTAGCAAAAATTTATTAAATAAATACAATTTATTTACTTTAAATGAAAAATGATAAAAAAAATGGAAAAATGAAAAAGGGAAGTTGGTGAAATAAATTGAGATAATAATATTATTATTTACACATATTATTTGTATATAGATGATTCCCTATTTATGAGAGTCTATAGAGAATCCCACACTCACATATCCACTATACATATAAGGACTAAGGATTATACGGGATCTCACAATGCTAATACTTAGTGATGGAGTATATGAGCCTATACCTACCCATGGCCGACATACTCACAAGACATTCTGAACTTGCTCCCAACAAACAATAAACTACATCCTCTCCCCTCGACCAAACAACGGTAACACCACTCAATGCGATCTAGATCATCCAACTCTTAGATCAAACATGAATCGACAAGATCATCCTCGTCCATCATCCCCTCAATCATTCACCCTCGTCCAAGAATTAGACATCACCCACTAGGACAATGGGACTAAGGGAACATCCCCCCTACCACCACCACCACGAAGCAAACAATAGTGGCACCGTGTGCCCTCTTTTAATATGCTGCAAGGTTTTGCCCATAGACTACGCAACATTTGCACTAACATTTGGTGCATTTAACATTTATTACTAATATAAATAATCCCATTTTGAAAAGTTAGAAGGGTTCTGATAGATCACCGGAATACTGCTAGTTTTATCTAGAGAGAAGTAAGGGGGGAAGATATATGCTATTAAATGATTTGCAAACTCTTTACATTTGTGGGGGTATACTAATAAAAATGTTAGGGGAAATAAATGCATGTACATGTGTAAACTAGTTTATGTGAAGGAGTCGTGCTATGTAGCAGAATGCGACGCTTGGCAATGCAAATCATCTGCTATGTGTTGGATGAGGTGAACATGATCAATGTGCTTGAGCCCTCATCATTGTTATCCCTTTACGTACCTTGAGTGAGCTTGTGTCTGGCTAGGCCCCGTGTGAGACCTGTGTGGACCAAGGTATGTTCAATATGTCACACTCCGGACCTACCCGGACACGTCAACAACCCGCCGTACGGTACGAATAGTCAACCGCAGTCCGACTCATCCATACTATACAAGGCGTTTTGAATACCATTCACACATAGTACATCCATAAACAAACATAA